GTTGACTCCAAGAGCCAACGAGAACGGGATCGAATATATCTCGATAGGCCCCGAGTCGATCCCTTCCAGGCTAGCGTTGACTCAGTTCCGATTGTGATTCGCCACTATAGGTCATCCCAACTACCAGCCGTCCTTGGCCACGAGCAGCCCAATACGCCTTTCCTCACACACTTGAACTCTGCCAGTCCTTCAGTAGGGAAGGTACGTTGACTTTTCAGCTATAGTAGAGCTGCTGGGCACTTGCACCGGCCAGAAGATTCACTTGGATAATGCTCCGAAACGGACGGATATTTGCCAGCTATCACTTAGATCAACCACACACTAACGCTCTTGGATTGACCTTGGCGGGCGAACCGAACTATTAATCTAGTTCACCAACAGACATGTATGCCACGCAAAGCGGTCTGGTTCTCTTAGACTTACCCAAAAGAAGCCTTAACTTCAGGTAGCAAATTCAGTTCTGTTCTCCACCCTTCTGGGCGTTAATTCTTATCCTAATTCCTACTATGTAAGTAGACAAATATCATGTTTAAATGCGACCTAGCTACGAGATCTAATAACGGTCGACGACTACTCGACCAATCACTAGACGAAACTCTCACTAAGTGCGGATCTCAGCCGGGTATTTCAGCGGATATATCGTGTACTCCACATCACTCCCGAATAGTGACCAATAGTCTCTAATGGTTGTCATGTCACTCTTTGATGGGCCGACGAGGACTCGTCATGAGTTGTAGTCCACTAAGTTCCGAATTGTGTGATCCACTTATCGGGGACGGGTCCTAACGGTAGCGTCCGAAAGTTCCCGCCTTCATCCTCTTCAGTCTCAACTAAGAATCGCAGCACCACAACTGCCTCCGCCACCACACGAGCCGCTTGCTGGTAAGTGTTGAGGCGCTTCATGGTTGACCTTCTCGACCAAGCCCTGCGCATGGCTCATCAAGCTCTCCCGGATTCTGAGACTTCTCTTCGACCGGTAAGTGTTCGTCACTCATCTTATCTTGCCGTTGGATTACTGACTCACCATTCGCTTTGCTCGGCTGTAGCCATTGAAGTCACCGATCACTCCACGGGCAGCGCATCCTACTCCTGCTGCTGCGATCCCTTCTCCAGCTCTCCGGTGGTTGAGCCAAAGGTTATCAACTTGATTTCACCCGACTGTCAGGCGAGGCTTGCTCATGCACCCACCTCTCGTTGTCTTGCACTGACACGCGACATTTCTCAGCTTCCACAGGATGCTCCGCCAGCAAGCTCACCTACTTCTGGTCCTGTTTCGACAACCCCTCGAGGCCAACCCTCGACGACTACAGCTCACGCCGTTCCTGCACTGTCCGTCACGGAAACTCGTCTGGCCGAGATGCTGGACTCGCAGCGTCAGCATACATTCAGTAAAATGTCGGCTCATATTGAGAGATGCTTTGCGGGAGTCTGTCTTTTTGCTGGTGAGCTGTCGTGGGGGCCTGACGTTCGCGGCCAACGCCTATTGATCCAACTAGCTTCGAGGTGCATCTACTCTCGAGGATCTCGTTGCTGTGCCTCAGTATTCAGATGTGCCGATACCTGGGTCCTCGGTTCAAGAGGTCGCTGGTCTGCGCAACCGGTTGTTGTCGTGTGATGATGAGAGGCTATCGCTGACCATAACGCTCTACCGTGAGCAACAGCTCCGGGAGAATGCTGAGTTATATGCCAGAGAGGCGTAAGCTGAACGAAAAGCAGCACTCACCGAGACCAAGCGCGTCAAGGGACGCGCGATTTCCCTGCACCAGCAGTTCGTCGATATGCAGGTGACGATTGAAGGTCATCAAGAGATGTATTCCAAGGTGGAGAACCGGCTCAAGCTTGCGCACGCCAACTCGAACTCCATCTCCAGGGACCTCAAGACCACTCACGAAGTTTTCAAGCGCAAGATTGTCGAGTACAAGTCATCTTTTGATCGCCTTAACGCGTTGCTGCTGCTTTCGGATCCGGAGGAGACACCCCTGACCCAGAAGCTTCGAGTTCGCGTTCGCGAGTTGGTCGATGAGAACAAGCGCCTCCAAAAGCCTGCCTCGTCTTTACGTTCCCGGATTCGACTCGACGAGATGGATCATGAGACATTGATCTGCATGCTTGAAGGTACGCTCCCATCCAGCTTCACGAGTATTCATCCATGTGCTAACTTATCGTTACCTTGCAGGTCTCGAAGCTGAAGAACTGGACTGGGAGGTAATTGAGCCTAATTCACTCACGCGCAAGGCTTTGCGCCAAGTGTACAAACTCTGTCGCGATGACCAAGATGACTTCTCGTTGGCTAACGAGATCGTCCGGTCCGTCCAAGTTCACATTTGATGAGCTACAGGCGCAGAATTACCGCATGGCTGTTGCTCAAGCGACTGCTGAAGACAAACCCGGGCCACCTCCACCTCGTACGTTCGTGCGCAAGTCATCCACTTCATCCAGCGACCGCCCACGCTCCACTCGGACCGACCATGATGACGGTGCTCAGCCCAAGTCGTGTGCGACCACTACTTCACTGGACGCACGAGCGGCATCCAAGTCTCAGTCGCCACAAACCTCCAGCGACAAGTCGAGTCCTGCACCTCGCTTGCTATCAATTACACGCACTGGTCCTCCAGTAGTTTTCGAGTCTAGTGACGACTGTTCTGCTGGTGAGGAGTCCAAGCTTTCATCTCCTCCTGCAGCTACCTCTTCGTCCAGTCGCGCGGTGTCGACCTCGTCTTCGTCCGCGACTCCCTCTCAGCGACAGTCTGGGAAGCGAAAGGCCACGTGCTCCCAGCATGGTGACGACGACCAAGATGTCGATTTTGGCGATGGATCTGAGGACGTGGACATGGAGGGAGGCCGTGAGTGTTCGGCAACTCCTTCTTTTGTGTCTGGTGGTTCCTCTCCACCCAAAACGCAGCGCGTTTTGTACTTGCCTCGCGGTGTGACTGTGACTCCACCAGCAAAATCCAAGCTCGTCACTTCACCAGTCGGCGACACCTCCGCCTCAGTGTCCACCCAGACTGACCCGACTACTCCCGTGGTAGATACTCCTCTGTCTTCAAGAACCCGGTGTTTGTCTGGCCGTAAGGGGTCTGCATCCACGGTGTCTGCTGCAAATTCCAAGTCCAGTCCTCGATTCACTCCTCAACGGAAAGCGGCAGCTCGTTCCGAATTCCAGTCGTCTCTTCACGTGGAGTTCCAACAAGTTTTGGATGGGGAGGCCATCTTTGAGGAAGAGCCGAGTGGACCACTACCAGGTGCAATTCTGGATGAATCCACAGAGTCTTCGGCTGCAGCAGAATCTTCTCGTGATGCTAGTGCGCTTGACGCGTCGTTGCCGAAACCGGTTATCACTATCAACGACCCGTCGGATTCGGATTCCGTCATCGACGCTGATTCTGATCCTCCGGTTTCAGATGACGACGCAGCAGAGGATGAAGACAAGGAACTCGCCAAGCTCAAGCCAGAGACCGAGTGTCTGGATGACCACGGTGACTCCGACTCATCCGTGGAAG